ATGGCTTCATGTCAAGCTGCTGCCTTCCTTTGTGAAGCAGGAAAAAGACTAAAACAAAGTGAATCCAGTAGAACTTTTATTGCCTACCTGGAATGGGTGACAATAGTGGAAGAAACTTTTGGCTCTGAAGATGGTATCCGTGCCCTAGTTGTTGGTACTCACCGATACCGATACTACCATCTTAGAGCCGGATTGGAGCCCCACCAGATACTGGTATCAGTGCAAAACTATTTATTACCTAACTTCTAGATTCTGTTTATCTGCGTTCAGTCATGGAGTGACAGGATTTTTCTTTTCCTGATCCAACCTGAAGCAGCAGCAGGATGATTCTAATTGACCTGACATGGAAAAACAAGCCAATTAAAGCAAAAAGCAACAAAACAACAAACTGAGGATATTTTCAACAGCTAGTGAATCACAGAGTGGCCTGAGATATTCGTTGAGGCATCTAATGAGGCATTCAGTGAGGCATCTGATGAGGCATCTGATGAGGCATAGAGTGAGGCATCTAATAAGGCATTCAGTGAGGCATCTGATGAGGCATAGAGTGAGGCATCTAATAAGGCATTCAGTGAGGCATCTGATGAGGCATAGAGTGAGGCATCTAATAAGGCATTCAGTGAGGCATCTAATGAGGCATAGAGTGAGGCATCTAATGAGGCATAGAGTGAGGCATCTGATGAGGCATAGAGTGAGGCATCTAATAAGGCATTCAGTGAGGCATCTAATGAGGCATAGAGTGAGGCATCTAATGAGGCATAGAGTGAGGCATCTAATGAGGCAATCAGTGAGGCATCTAATGAGGCATTCAGTGAGGCATCTAATGAGGCATTCAGTGAGGCATCTAATGAGGCATTTAGTGAGGCATCTGATGAGGCAATCAGTGAGGCATCTAATGAGGCATTCAGTGAGGCATCTAATGATGCATAGAGTGAGGCATCTGATGAGGCATTCAGTGAGGCATCTAATGAGGCATTCAGTGAGGCATCTAATGAGGCATTTAGTGAGGCATCTGATGAGGCAATCAGTGAGGCATTTAATGAGGCAATCAGTGAGGCATCTAATGAGGCATTCAGTGAGGCATCTGATGAGGCATAGAGTGAGGCATCTAATGAGGCATTCAGTGAGGCATCTAATGAGGCATTTAGTGAGGCATCTGATGAGGCATACAGTGAGGCATCTGATGAGGCATACAGTGAGGCATCTAATGAGGCATACAGTGAGGCATCTGATGAGGCATAGAGTGAGGCATCTAATGAGGCATACAGTGAGGTATCTGATGAGGCACATAGTGAGGCATCTAATGAGGCATAGAGTGAGGCATCTAATGAGGCAATCAGTGAGGCATCTAATGAGGCATTGAGTGAGGCATCTAATGAGGCATAGAGTGAGGCATCTAATGAGGCATACATTGAGGCATCTAATGAGGCATAGAGTGAGGCATCTAATGAGGCATACATTGAGGCATCTAATGAGGCATACATTGAGGTATCTGATGAGGCACATAGTGAGGCATCTAATGAGGCATAGAGTGAGGCATCTAATGAGGCATCTGATGAGGCATAGTGAGGTTTCTGATGAGGCATCTAATGAGGCATCTAATGAGGCATAGAGTGAGGCATCTAATGAGGCATACAGTGAGGTATCTAATGAGGCACATAGTGAGGCATCTAATGAGGCATACAGTGAGGCATCTAATGAGGCATCTGATGAGGCATAGCGAGGTTTCTGATGAGGCATTTAATGTAGCATCTAATGAGGCATTTAATGAGGCATTGTTTGACGATATGTTTTCACAATACTTGGGTCATAATACAATATTATCATGATATTGCAATACCACTGTATACTCTGCGATATATCATGAAGTCCTCTGAGCCTCATCAGGTGGAAGCAGAGTGAATAGAGGGGAATATTTCTTTGCTCTGGTTCAGCAACAGGAGGAGGAGGGGAAGTCTTTGTTCTGCTGTAATCCTTTCTGCTCCTGAGACACGTTTTTCCTGGAGGACATCTCCCTCCCTTCATTTCCTCACCCCTTTTCCTTTGACCTTCCGCTGCCTCTCTCTCTCACGCTTATCGCTGCCCAAAGTGATGGAGTCTCTGTGGCCTTGACAGGTGAATGCTGCAGCGCTTTGTTTGCCACGTCCACAAATCACTCAGGTCTGTGAGGTCATGAACATGTGATCTAAGCCAGACGACTGAAGCATTCGTCCAACACATCAAACAGTCCTGTGAGATTATCAGGCAGCAGGCAGACAGCTGGCTGGTTAACTCCACTCAAATATTAAAGGAGAAGTTCGGTTTTTTACACTTTAAGCCCATTTTCTGTAGTGTCCAGGATGAAATCGAATGATCGACACCAAAAGTTTGACAATTGGTCCTGTCTCTGCTTTTTGGCTCATTTAGAATCCCCCCCTGGCTGCTTTAGAATGGCTAGCATAGAGCATGTCCGATAATGTCCTTAAAACAACCTTAAACGTTCTTTTTTTTAAATATGCTACTCACCGGGTCGTCAGCGCTGTTCAATGACGTTCCAAAAAAAGTTAAAGAAAAAACGTTCCTGTAGTGTTTTATTTAGCATTTTGTAAATCCCATTGAGTTCTGTAGGAATAGTCAATATTCCGCTGCCACCGGAAACGGAAATGGGGCCTGTTTACACAGTTGTAGTCTTTTCGCTTCACTCTGTGTACTCCGACGTCGAGGTGCTAACGTTTCTGTTAAACACTTTAAAAAACTCTGAAAATGGAATACGAAAGGTGGATTCTTGATTCTCGACGTCGGAGTACACAGAGTGAAGCGAAAAGACTACAACTGTGTAAACAGGCCCCATTTCCGTTTCCGGTGGCAGGGGAATATTGACTATTCCTACAGAACTCAATGGGATTTACAAAATGCTAAATAAAACACTACAGGAACGTTTTTTCTTTAACTTTTTTTGGAACGTCATTGAACAGCGCTGACGACCCGGTGAGTAGCATATTTAAAAAAAAGAACGTTTAAGGTTGTTTTAAGGACATTATCGGACATGCTCTATGCAAGCCATTCTAAAGCAGCCAGGGGGGGATTCTAAATGAGCCAAATAGCAGAGACAGGACCAATTGTCAAACTTTTGGTGTCGATCATTCGATTTCATCCTGGACACTACAGAAACTGGGCTTAAAGTGTAAAAAACCGAACTTCTCCTTTAAATGCAGTCTTTTTGTCCGCTTCTGTTTGCATCTTAAGATCTTTATAAATCAGAACCAAAGTTTGAACAAACTTTAAAAAGACTCATCAGAATCCCTGGTCAGTAAAAGCAAAATAATAAGCTGAGACCGGCCCTGATCCACCATGAAGAGCATTGCTCAGAGATAAAACTTGTTTGTCTTCTTTCAGAGGCTGGATTGTCCCTCCTAGGCACCCATATGGAGGACAGCCTTAGAGGTAGAATCATCTGAGTCCTCAGTAAACATTAAAGGTTCTCATTTCATTAATGTTTCTGGATATTCTTTGGATCCAGCAACATAGAACAACAATAATAAATCTGGACTTTATCCACAGAAGCCCCTCCCAGTTGCTTTGGGACCTTCTCTGTGTCTAATGTGCCTAAAATGTTTATAATGTTTATGGTTAGTAGATATGGGACCTCCAGGCATTAAGACCTTCTGTTTGAAGACCTTGTTCAAGTAAACTTCCTCTGACTTCACCTCAGGATCGATGCAGACAAACTGAAATCAATCAGAAAATAAAGTCCACAGATTTCAAACATATTTAAAGAACGAGACGAACTTCAAGCTGCAAACATCTCAGAGTCTGAGCAGGAAACCTGCTACCTGAGGACCGACGGCGCTTCGCTGAGGATTCAAATAAAAAAAATAAATATTTCTCTGATTCCCGATAAAATTCCCAAGAAACAGTTCTTCAAAATTTAAATAAAATTATACTGAGCCCGTACACCCCATCCCCCCCCCGCAATATTGTTTAGCTGCTATGAGCCTGAGCTGCAGGTGAGGATGAGGATGTAATGGAATGAAGAAAATAAAAAAAACAGGTTCTGTGACCCCTCAGCCTGCAGGGGAGGGGCTGAGGGAGGGGGAGGCGCGGGAGTAAATGAGATCCCGATGAGATGTCAAGGTGTGTTAGAGCTGAGGAGCAGGCAATGAGGAGAGAGAGGGTGGAGGAGGTAAGGTGGACACCCTCCACCCAGAAAGATGTGTGCTAAGTCAGCTCTGAGGAGGAAGAGGAGGAAGATGAAGAGATGGAACAAAGAAAACAGGAAGGAGGAGAAAAAAGGATCTTCTAGCGTCTGATTGGGCATCAGGTCACCATCCAGTTTACCTGGAGCTTCATTAATCACAAAAAACCAGAAGATGGAGGAAGAACTTCCTCTCTGTCACAACATGAACTGAAGACCCGATGGCGTCTAAGTCTGAAAGATCCAGGAGTCCAGGAGCTGGAGCCACCTTCTGGAGCTGCAGCCACCTTCTGGAGCTGCAGCCACCTTCTGGAGCTGCAGCCACCTTCTGGAGCTGCAGCCACCTTCTGGAGCTGAAGATATCACCGGCTCCCCTGCCTGAGAGGAACCTGAGTCTGAGCTGCAGCAACCATCAGGCTGGAAGGAGAACATGTGAGTAGAATCCACTCTGGTCCAACCCTGAGCCAACCAGCCTCTCCTTCATCACAGCAGCCTGCCTCACTGATCAGCATCTGGCTGCAGAACCTCCAGGTTCCTCACATCTCCGAGCAGATCAGCAATAATTGATGGAGCCAGAAGCAGAGATCTGCTGCTCCGCATCCTCAGCATCAGGACCTCAGAGAAACTAAGTCCAGAACAGAAGAAGACTTCCTGTTCCTCTGAGCCTTCAGCCTGTCAGCATCAGAAGATCTGGTTTATTTCTACAGACATGTACCAGAACCTCCAGAACCTGACGGAACCCATCATCCATCAGAACCCAGAAGCAGCAGCACCGGATCGGAGGCAAACTCCGCTCCGAGCTGCGCGCTGAGGAGCCTCAGCCTACCTTCCTCTCCTCGGCAGTCTTGGATCCGCTTCAGGAATAAAATCCACAGCAGCACCGTCAGGGTTCTACAGGGATCCATGGTCTCTGGCTCCGCTCTGCGGGGTTCTGCTCATTTCTGTCCGCCTGTCGCAGCAGAGACGCGTCGTCTAGATGCTGCGCTGCGCAGCCACCGTCTGGATGACGGAGCCGGTCAGCTCGCGGGGATATTTCTATACTCGGGGGCGGGGTCAGGACGGCGAGTGGCGCCCGGATGAGCCAATGGCAGGAGGCGTGGGTCCGCGAGCGAGGGAAGGCCGACCAATCAGCGAGCTGCACACCTGGATGAGGAGCAGCTCTATGTAAAATGTCTGTGCTGAGAGGAGCTGGAGGAGCTCAGATCAAAGCTTTAACCCCTGATGGATCAACATCCATCCTTCTAGTCCCTGAAGCTGCAGGGTCAGCCATGTTCTCTGCATGTTCCTCTGATCTCCTCCACCTTTCCTCAAGCAGCTTTCTGCAGGTCATGAGTGAAGATCTGCTGAAAGCTGCAGGTTTCAAACCAAGGATGAGAAATGAGAGGAATCCAGGCAGCAGAACTTTATTCTTTCTTTATTCAAACATGTTTTTTTCATATTGGTCCATCACAGCGCCACCCCCCACCCCCCCACCCCGCTCTTCTCAGGCTGTCAGAGAACAAGACGTATTAAAACAGGAAACAATGTTTCAGGGGTTTGCATCACTGCATCTGAACTACAGATCTATAGAATGTCTGCAAAGAAAGTCGAAGCCCCAAAATCATCGCTGACAAAGGCTGTGATCCACCCTCCTCCCCTGGAGAGGAAGGGCTTCCCCTGCTGGAGGCTGTTTAGTGCCTCAAAACTTCCAAAGAAGTTGTTCAGATTATTCCGGAATTCAGCATCAGATGCATCTACGGGGGGTGGGGGGGGTGCAGTCTGTGATCATCCGAATGCCTCCTCCTGGTGTTGCTGTCATCGTGGAAAAGATCCTGGTTCTTCTGACTGTCGTTCTTCTTCGCTGATCTGATGGTTTAAGTCGCCACACGCTGTCCTCAGAGCCTCTTTATCTCCAGCTGAGTTCAATTCTATTCAGTTTATTTCTATAGCTCCAATTCACATCATGTCATCTCAGGTCACTTTATAGATCCAGATCAACCAGATCATCCAGTCAGATTGATTCAAAGTTTTCTATCTAAGGAAAACCAGCTGATTGCATCGACTCATTGACTCTTCAGCAATCCCTCACACTAAGCATGCTTGTAGCGACAGTGGAGAGGAAAAACTCCCTTTGAACAGGAAGAAACCTCCAGCAGAACCAGGCTCAGTGTGAGCGGCCATCTGCTGAGGCCCACTGGGGTTCAAGGAGACAGAAGCAGACATAGAAAAAGAAGCATAGATACAAAAGGCAACTGTCAACCAGCTCCACAGGCGGCCCCGTCCAGGAAACACACAGCCAGGCAGACGAGCTCCGAGCCAGCTCCCATGTCAGAGGATGAAGAGAGCACATCCAGTTAGTCACAGTCAGAGAAACAGGACTACACTGGAAAACAGGCCAAACAAACCTGCAGACTGAGAGCAAAGTGCTCTGTTAGGAACATCAGGAACAATCAGATCTCTGATATCAGATGGAGCTTGGCCATTTAAGGCTTTATATGTGAGAAGGAGGATTTTAAATTCTATTCTGGATTTAACAGGAAGCCAATGAAGAGAAGCCAGGATAGGAGAGATATGATCTCTCTTTTTCATTTTCATTAGAACTCTGGCTGCAGCATTTTGGATCAGCTGAAGGCTTTTAACTACAGTTTGTGGACTTCCTGATAGTAAAGAATTACAATAGTCCAGCCTTGAAGTAACAAATGCATGGACTAGTTTCTCAGCATCACCCCTGGACAGGATATTTCTAATTTTAGCAATATTCCTCAGATGAAAGAAGGAAATTCTCTCCTCTCCTCTCCTCTCCTCTCCTCTCCTCTCCTCTCCTCTCCTCTCCTCTCCTCTCCTCTCCTCTCCTCTCCTCTCCTCTCCTCTCCTCTCCTCTCCTCTCCTCTCCTCTCCTCTCCTCTCCTCTCCTCTCCTCTCCTCTCCTCTCCTCTCCTCTCTGCAATGAGCAATAAGCAGCCATGTCTTCACTGTGATCAATTTTAGGGTTCGTTCCTCTGGTCCCCCCTCCCCCTCCTGTTTCTTAGGGATATTAGAGTAAAACTCGTGTGACTTCCTCAGGGAAGCTGCGCTGCTGGACGTCTTCCTGAGTCTCTAAACACGTATGCAGAGCAGGTAAAGTCTCAGACGCTCACCCTCATCCTGCTGTCTGTAGTATATATAGTATATATAGTATATATAGTATATATACTATATATACTATATGTAGTATATATAGTATATCATCACTACTATATTATCCAGAGGAGAGGAGAACTTCTCTCCTGGGGATCAGTTGCTGGTCTCCCTATATCCCCCCCACACTGAAGCGTTTCCCCAGGAAATTGCTCCCTGCAGGGAAACAAAGCAAGACCCACACATGCATAATCAGGCACCTACACATAGATGTTTGCACATAGATCCACACAGCATTTTAAGACGTGATTAGCTGGCAGACATTAATCACAGCAGCAGTTCCTAATGAAATCAGATCACAGATTCACTCTGATGATGCTGCTGCATTATTTTCATTGCCTTATTTAGTGTTTCTGGCTGCTGGTGATTTCATCACAGTGATCAGTGATTAACACCATCAGAGCATCACGTCCACATGAGGGCCGACTGCAGATCACAGCTCGCAGGTCGGTAGAAAGCTGAGCTGTCGGCACATAATGAGTCCTCCTGAGGTAATTAGTTCTAGGAACAAGACTCTGCGCCGTCATCATCAGCGGTGCGGATCAGGAGACTAAATGCTCTCAGAGGTGGAGGAGTTACCAGATATAAGAGGAGGAGATGAACTCCTTCACCTGATGAACGTCTCTCCTCATCTCTGACCTTCCATGTTTGGCCCCCATTCAGCTCCAACCTTCATCCTGAAGCAGATTTGATGAAGAAGAGAAACATAAACGAGTTTTATTGGAGAAGATTCTGCAGTTTAACTCCGGTTCTTCTGCCTCATCTGATGGGTTTGGTCCTCAAACATCTCAGAAACATTCATGTTTATGAAGACCTGCACATGGTCATCCATAGATAAGATTCAGTCATCAGGAGGATTGGGCCTGAAGCTCTGCAACATGTCTGACAGGTGGTCTGCAGCCTCGTCTCTCCTCCACCTGATCACCTTCTTCCAAAGGATTGATGCTGCAGCTGCCAGTCAGACACATTCATGGAGATCAGCCTTCCTGTAAGGAAAATCTTTCATATTCAAATCAGAGGCAGATTTTTAGCACCAGTGGGAACTGAATGGATACCAGTGTTCCCAGTTCAAAGGGTCCATGCATGGAAAACAAAACACCAAGGAGTCCTTTCTACACCTTTCAATCTTTTCCTCCTTTTCTCCTCAAGAACATTAATCTGATCATCGTTTAATAATTTCATCAGTCTCCCTCCAATGAGACTTCAATCAAAGACTATCAGGAAAACCACTTTGAATGAACCTGCTGATGCTTCAGCGTTGGCACCACAAACATCTCACCTTCTTCTCTCCAGAGGAGAGTCTGTAGATCTGCAGCTCCTAGAGCCATGCTGTAATCACCGCTGTAGACTTCCTGCTGCACCAGCAAAGATGATTTTTTCAGGAGAAAATCTGAGATCAGAGATTTAGTTTCAGTCAAATTTTCCTCTCTTCCATCCAACCCTTAGAGACGAGTCTGTCTGAAAACACAGCTCACTGCTCATCATAACTAGAAGCTGATTTTGCAATGTTTCTATGTTGCATTTGTTGTTTTCTGTTGTTTCTGATTTTCCTGCTGAGATCTGATGGAAGGAGAAGCAGGCAGAGTCAGTTTCCCTGGAAAAGGCAGTGAAGGCAGCGAAGGCAGCGAAGGCAGCGCTCCAAGGGGCTCCTTACGCTAACGCTAACACCTGAAACAGCTCCTGACGCCCTGCTGACACTATTTACAGCACTTTGTTTAATTAACGCTGGGGGCTCAGAGGAGCACCTTACTGTATGTTTGTTAGCATCAGAAACAACAAGGAGGCGACAGAAACCAAAGACTGAGTCACACAGCAGCTCCTGGTCCATCTGAGCTTCAGCCTCGGCAGCTTTGCTGCTTTTCCTGCTGGAGCTTTAATGTTAAACAGCAGAATAAACAGTAACGTGGTCCTAATCTGGCCTCCCACTGCTGCTGCACATCATAATTATGTAAATGAAAGGAAAGCAGCTCATTGCTGAGCTCTGATTGCTTCATGAGGGGTGCTGTCCCTCACTTTAGGAATATAAACCCCTGTAATTATGCTTGGCAGGCTGAACACTCACAGGAAAATCTACAAACACAGAGATGTGGAGCTGATTGGTTTCACTGGTGGAGCCTCGCTGGTGCAGCTCTAATTACGGCTGCATTGTTCTCCATCACAGGCCTAAAAGGTTGAACCGGAACTAGTCCTACATGGCCGTTCAGCTGGAGCCACTCGTCAATCACAGTCGCCACCGCTTAGACTGAGCTTTGAATAAACGAGTCATTTTGTTTGTGAAGCAGATCAGAGCGACTGGGTTCTTAGGGAATGTTTACCTGAATGCATCTCTGAAAAACATCCCTTCTTTCTTATATTCTGCTTCTTCCACAGATCAGTCCTGCAGGTCAGGCTTGGAATCCAGAACCCTGCAGGAAGGCGGCCTTGCAGGACTGACGCTGAGCAGACCGGATCTAAATCACGTCTCACACCGACAGGCTGAACTCCATTTTACTCCTGGGTCAATTTCACTTATTCAGGATTTTGAGTAAATCTCTTGTCTTCATTCTAAACTCTTTAAACGTGTTTAACATGAATTTAACCTTCATGTCTGGAGATAAAGCTGCAGCTTATTGTGTGAGCGGGAGACAGCAGTTCTGATATTTCATCATCTTAGCGGATCAATGCTTTGCTTCTACTCATTCTACATGTCTCATTTCTACACATCAGAGATGGATCCATCCAGTTTCCTGATTCTGTTGTCATGATCTGGGCACTGATGACTGATTTATTAGTTATTTTCTTTAACTTGCTTAACTCCGCCCAGTTTTAATTTGCTCTTATCTGATCCACCTGTTCCAGTTCCTATTTAAG